GTATATTTTTATGCTACGTAAGAGTAGAACTAGTAATTCTACTAGTGTGGTACAGCAATGGATCGTTATGTAAAACCATTAATAGAAAAATGTACAGAGAACATTCTTGTAACTTCAGTAATAACCTATTTATATAGTGTTATTAGATTCATGAAAACATACGTTGGTAAAAGCAAGGGAGACAAGAACAGTTTAAATGGTTATTCAAATCACTTCCTTCTATTCAAAAAATATGTATTTTACACCACCACTGCATCACAATTTTTGTGATATCTTCCTTTACCCTTAAGACAAAAAAATGGCTATTGTCGTTTACTGCAGCTGCACAAATATTCATACCTATCTAGACTGAAAATACTACTATCCAGGGCTTTTTTTTGTTATAGAACGCCCAGAACGGAGTTCCGGCACCTTTTTTGGATGGAACCTTGTAGGGTAGGCAAGGTGGGTTGTATGAGGCGTGTGAGTTCCAGCACCTTTTTTTTTTTTTTTTTTTTTACAAAAAAAGCACTGCTACTATCCAAATATGTATAGTCTCAGTTTTCAGATTAGATAGAACAGCCCTTGTAGTAAATCTGATACCATTCCCACAACCTACCTATCGGTATCAACAAGAAGATGTTAAAGGACTCAGCTAAGCCTGACAGGATTAAATTAATTCCACTTAATCATGTTATACAACATCTCACTCTCATCAACTGATTTGCTGCTTAGACCCTTCAAGAAAGAGAACTGGAGAGACAAAACAGCTGAAACCACCCCGGTCAGCATTTAGAAATGTGGTGGTGGCATCCTTACACTAGTGAACGTGATTTGGCTGCATGAGAACCAAGCCACTCATCCCTGTCAGGATTCTTGCAAACTCATTTCCTGCAAGCATCTACAACTGGCAATGAATGCAGATGAGAAGAACATGCCTAGGCAGAGACTTAAATTATTGAAACAATCCCACATCATTCACAAAGATATGCACGTTTGTTTATTTATTTCCAAAAAGAGGTTCAGTGACAACCAAATCATCTCCATGTTTATTTAGAATAGAATAATAACTTTATTGTCACTTTGAATGTACACTAATCAACATATATTAAAATGAAATTTTGTTGCATTCAGCTCTCAAAGGGTCACCACCTCCAACATATACTACATAAATATGACAAAAACTAATAAATAAATACAGAATTATGCATATACCCCACATATATTATATGACACAGAGAAACAATAGTCTAGTTCGGGTTATGTATACATGTGCATGGCGAGAAAAATGAATCTCGTGAGTTTACCAGACGGATGGCATAGGGAACAAAGCTATTACAGAATCAGGTAGTCCTGCTAGAAATACTTCGAAACCTCCTCCCAGAAGGGAGCAACAGAAACAGACCATAAAGTGGATGTATGGGGTCTCTAACAATGCTTTGAGCTCTAAGCACATAGTGTTTATAAGCAGCACCCTGAATACCAGGAAGCCAGCTTCCTATGATCTTCTCAGCTGTCCTTACCATTCTCTGTATGGATTTTCTATCTGAGGCACTGCTGCCACCAAACCAGAGAGTGATGTTGTTTGTTAAAATGCTTTCAATCGTGCCTCTGTAAAAAGTGACCAGGACATGAGGAGAAAGATGTGCTCTCCTCATACAATGCAGGAAATGCAGATGCTGGTTTGCATGCTTCACTAAGGATGATATGTGGAGAGACCAATTCAGATTGTTAGTTATTTGCACCCCCAGATACTTAATATTGTTGACCACCTCTACAGCTGCATCTTTAATACTGAGTGGAGTATGACTATACCGGCTCTTTCTAAAATCTACAATGATCTCCTTTATTTTATCAATGTTTAGAACCAGGTTACTTTTATTGCCTTCACCTTTTCCCTGTAAGCATCTTCATTGTCATCCCGGATAAGACCCACCACTGCCGTGTCGTCTGCATACTTCACAATATGATTCATAGCAGATTTAGCACAGCAGTTGTGGGTCATCAAGGTGAACAGTAGTGGACTCAGGACACAGCCCTGTGGAGAACCTGTACTCAAGGAGATGGAATTGGAAACTTTCTTTCCAACTCGCACAACCTATCAATAAGGAAATCAAGTATCCAATTACATAATGAAGTATTAAAACCTAATAAGCCCAGTTTGTTCACCAGATGCTGAGGGATGATTGTGTTGAATGCTGAACTAAAATCCACAAACACCATTCGCACATGAGTATTCTTCCCCTCCAGGTGCGCCAAGCTGCTATTATCAAGAAGATTGCTGCATTGCTTGTTATTGTCCACTGTTGTATCAGTGAACATGGGATGAATTGCTCACTGAACATGGGATAATTGCCCACAATTATCGCGTTTCTGTTATTTATTGCCACAGTATGTTGGGATATAAAAGGGCCTTACTCTGTCCAGATTAAGGTTGCAGTTCCCTGAAACTTTCATGTCAATTGGGGTTGTTCATTTCTCAGCTGGGGCCTATACAGAACTACCTCCCAACTATGATACACAAAAGATAAGATTATCTACCTTATCAAACTCCCCATCAGTGGAGAGGTGCTGGAAGACAATAAAAAATCCACAAAAATACATGTTAATGTGTCCTGAACTAGAAAAAATCAAAAAGAGGCGTTAATCATAGCCATCAGTAGTGTGTGGGCAAGATGAGAATGTGAAGTAGTTCAAAGAGATCACTGCCCCCTCCCCCATATAAGCAGAGTCTCACCAAAGAATGTGCTATCCTACAATTGTCTAGCTACCATCCTATGGAATGGAGAGATGTCATTCCAGTTGCATAGCTGGCTGCAGGATTGCATTCCAACAGCAAACATTCTGGCACAAATGGCAGGCTTCTGCTGCCAAACAAATGTCACTTCCAATCATTGTTACTCCTCAGAAAAAAATGATTCATTAATGGCCAGTAGCTGCAGTCCCTTACTAGTGTCAGGTCTATTGTTGAGAGGGTGGAATTGATCAGCAGCGGAACACAACTCTCAGCAGCAACCCAACTAATTAGAAGCAGCAGCCCAACCTCAGTAGGATGGTGTTGGCTATTGAAGTCAGAGCTCAGTTGACTCTGGGAGCAAGGAACATTACCAAATGCTTAGAACACGGGTGTCAAACTCGCCGCGTCACGTGACATGTCACGACGTATTGCGGCTTTTTTTGCATTGCCGGAGCTGGGGTGGGCGTGGCCTCAGTATGATGCAACCGGCCCACGGGCGGGCAGTTTGACACCCCTGGCTTAGAATATTACCAAATGCTAACAAACCCCATCTATGCTCAGTGCCAGTCGCCACATATAATGGTTGCAAATGGAGCTTCAAACATGGTCACTCTAAGAAAGGGACCCTGCAAACAACTCCAAAGACATTGCAGCGTTAATAGTTATAGGTCATATGTGTTGCATTAGTGAGCTTTTGGTTCAAAGAGCAAGTAGCTTTTAAAATTAATGCCAGTACAAATATCTTGATCTTTTATTGGAGGAAGTGAACTACTAGTTTTAAATATTCAACACTTTAATGTATTTGCAATCTCACTTGAAAAACAATGTTCTTAAAAATGAAATTTAGTATAGCGTATTTTATATTTTCCACTTGAGGGCAGCCCAGCATCAAGTTTTAAAAAAAAGGAACTGCATTGCAAAAAGAAACAGGTTCTTTTTCAAGAAAGTTATCTGAGCCTTGGAGGTGTTGTCCTGCTGGCTGTGTGTTTTTAAAACAGTAGCTGGTTTTAACTGCTCTGAACTATTCACTCTGCTGCAATATTAGCACTGCACAGGATGAGCCAGTTTAATTTTACATCCAAACACAATAACTTTGTCTTTCTATGTTTTCAGAATTACTGTCTTGCTCCTTGAAGTGTTCTTATACAGCTATAGGAACAAGCATAGCAGTTGGCACTGAGTAGTAGGATGGCATGAGATATATGAGCATTTCCACTGCTTGGAAATGAAGTCATTGACATTTGCAGTTGTGTTCTGTGGTAAACAAAATAGTTTCACTAAAATTTAATATTTTGTGCCCTAGAAATATAAGGATCACTTTATTAAGGAGCTTGAGGACTTGAAATTTATCCCAGAAAGTAGGAAAAGTTAAAAAAAAGTGAGGAGGTTCATCAAAGCGATGAAAGTGTATGGTAAACAATTGCTGAAAAATGTTAGCCCCAAAGAAAGAATCAATCAAAAGAACTGAACATGGAAAACAGATTCAGAACAAACAGTAGTTGTTAAAATGAAGAGGGCCTGTGGTTTATGGCAAAATAAGTGCTTGAAAGAGGTTGGCCTGGAAATTGAACAGTTTGAGAAGTTGAGAGGATAGTAAGAAATAGAGACAACAGAGTGACAAAACAAGACAGAGAACTACATAATTGTTGGGGTAGTTATTGTTTGTTAATGAAATACCTCACAAAAAACCTTGCTGTTTAGGAAATGTTGGAAGATGATCTAACATACCTAGAAACCACCACATTGAGGAAAGCTATTCTAAAGTTGCAAATACTTTCAGCACAGCATTAATAACAAAGACTGTGTAACAATAGCATAAGATAATAATTGGTGTAGGCTTTATCTTGTTCTTTAAAAGTTCAGAAATGGGAGGATATAAAAGCAACCGTTTTCTATTTTTGGACACAGCAACTGGTGTTCAGAGTAATACATTATTTCAACATGGAGACTTCACCTAGCTGTTAAAACATTCATACCCACCTAAACTGTAAATTTATTCCATTCACACAAAATTGAGCTTTATATTGCCAAACTGCACCTTCTGATAACATGCATAATAATTTCCTTTCCTAACCATTATATTCTCAAATAACTTTATTTCCATACACTGTATCTAGTTATTTATTCATCTGCAACTTCATCTGCAATCAACCAAAACTTGCTTCTAAAAGATACTGGAGTACTTACTTCTGCCAAGACTGATAGGCAAATTTAATACAATAGCTCTATAAGTCAACACCTACCATAACAACATCCAAGCTATGTAGGTTTGTCAACATTGCTCATATTTCTGAGGCTTGGAAAGGTTGGGTGAGCTTTGGGGCAAGTCTGACTCTGTTCGGATTGATCCTAATTAGAGTACTGTTAAGAACTTTGTGAGGTAAAAATGTGAGAATTATGAAATAATCCTTACATTGGAAAATTTGTATTCAGTATAGCAAAGTACATGCTGGTCCTATTGGCTTAATATTAACAACTCTAATAGCAAATTTCAGCTGATAAAATGTTCAGAACTGGAAGGCGACAACTTTGGAAACAAAGCATTGCAAGAGTTTTAAAGGTAAGAGATATAGAGATGTGGGAAGTAGCAAGAATGGAAATGAAATCCACACAACCTAATTCACAGCACATATGTGGCTATATTACAAACAAATGGGCAAAGAGTAGTTTTGCTTAGAAATCTATGTCTGTCTGTCTGTCTGTCTCTCTCTCTCTCTCTCTCTCTCTCGCTATCTATCTATCTATCTATCTATCTATCTATCTATCTATCTATCTATCTATCTATCTATCTATCTATCTATCTATCCATCCATCCATCCATCCATCTATCCATCTATCTATCTATCTATCTATCTAAATGTGGCATATTCTTTAGCACATAACCAAATTGGTTTGTAAAACCTGGAGGAAAGGGTGATTTTGAAGTCCCTCCACAGGGATATAATAATATAAAAGGTCATTTTTATTATTTCTTTTAATTGCCATGTTTCTATTTGATAAAACAGCAGATATTATGATTGCACAATGAGAGTTACTATTATATGAACTAGTCATCCATTTAAGACTAATAATAAATGCATTTTAATGATAAACCTGACCTTTGTACAGCATGTATAATTACTTCTTGATGGGATATTTTGATATGAAGTCATGTCCAGATTGCTAATATGGACAATGAGCCAATTTGTGGATATTGGAAATCTTGAGTATACTATTATGTTTGGACTCATGATTTTATGGAGGGTGTGCTATGTTTTAGTTTCAGTGAACTTCAGGGGTGGATTGTATCCCTTTGTTGATTCTCACCTTTATATGGTTAAAAATGAGATAAATAAACTGGAATTGGTGTTTGAACTTCTGTTAGCTAGGATACTTAGATATAAAGTTAGTGTGCTTCTGCATCAAATTACTGGGGCAAATGATAAGGGAGAGAGACTATGTTCATTCTCCTGCTAGTCTACTTCTATTCAGAAGCTTCTAATGTGTAACTGGAATTGATATCCTCTTGAAATCTAAGCTAATTAGATGTAACCCTTCCTTTGGAGAATAAGGGACAATTGTTTACATTCTTTTCCTTGATAGCCCCTTATAATATTTCAGTATTGCTGTGACCTCTTATTTTTTAAGATAGATGTATTTTTTAAAACACCATACTTTTTTTGAATGTGTGAACAGAGTTAATTTTTGGCCACAACTGAAAGAATAGCTTGAAATCAGGAACTGGCACACCCATTCAGTAATGTTTGTTTGCAGCAGCTTTGGAAACTGGTTGCTTAGCAGCTTTGACTGCTGCTTTTGTTGAACTGTTGCAGGCAATTTGCTGCCAGAGTGAAATGAGATCTTTCCATCTTTCAGGCAGCTTTATCAAATGATTGGCTTTGTTTTCAACCCCATGGGGTGACATCTTTTTGAAATGAAGTTATTTTGATAAGGTTGGATTGTAGAATAGCTACACATATGAGGTCACCCTTCTTTTTAACGCTGGAGGCTCCTTATTCTGTATTGGAGGCTTGAATTGTCCTTCATCAGCCAAAGGATATCATATGCACATATGAATTATCGCCAACTCTGTAAAGTATTCTTGAAAATGATGTTTGCTATTATAACTATAACTCTGCGCTTAAAACGATCACTAATATACATGTCACTAACTATAAATTATTGAACTGTCAGATACTGAGAGGCTAATCTTCACACAACAAATTTATCCTTGGTTAATGTAATCATTATTTACTCAACCCACAAGATATACTGGACAAAATAGAGCTGGGTGAATACAATACTATGGTTATCAAATGTTTAGATGTGGTTTAATACATCACACAAATCTGACTTGATTGATTTTGAGAGAAGGGTCACCTTGCTTCAGTTTGTTCAACCAAAGATTTGATCCAAAGCAGCCTACTTCAATTTAAGATTCAGTCAAAGTAGTGACCTGCATATTAAAATCCCATATTAAGCAATCACTTAATTCAAAGAGATTTTCCCCTGTGGTACGATACATAAAATTGCAACTACACCTCGTGAACAGTCATATTTTCCCTAAGTGGTCTCATCTTCCTTATCCCACAAAGAGGGATCAGCACATGTTTTGGTCTTAGAATGATGATACATTGAGATATTTAACAGTGGATTTATATATGACGATATATTTTAACTTAGAACATATAGAAGAAGCAAGTTCAGTTTCCTATACAGCTATAATAGAAACTTTATTTCTACAGCAAAAACTGAAAGAGGAGAAAGAAGCTAAGCGGGCTCATCTGGATGGAAGACATGACTACATACTGTCAATTGTTTCTGCTTGTGTGAACCTAGAGAAAAGTGAAGTGGAAGATGCTGTCCTTGAAGGAAATCAGGTAAGATGGAGGTAGATTCAGTTGTCAGACTCGAATTGAGTACAAAAAATAATTCTGTGCCTTGTAGACTGCTGCTGTGCATAGAAAGTGAAAGCAGTATTTTATAATATTTTTGAAAGTCAATTTTGGGAAGCAAATACAGCCTTCCTGAAAATTCACCATATAAATACTCATTTTTTTTCACAGCACTTCCCTGGTATAGTTTGGTTTCTGTATAGTTGTTTTGCAGCCCTGGATTAACCATCAAACAAAATAAGTGTGTTTAGGGCACCAAGCAAAGGGGAACACCGCAAGAGGTTCCCCCCCCTCCTATCATGCCCTTAACCCTTTCACTGCCATACTGAACTAATTAGCAGCATTTCTTGAGTCTTAATGTCTTACCTGGTAAAGAATGGAAGGGCTGAAGAGCACTTTTGTTAGGCTGTATTTAAGGCATCTATTGGCCTTAATCTGGCATTGCAATTTTGACAGTTATCATTATCTAGAAAACTGTAGCTCTATGGCACACAGTATAGTTGTGGGTGGTTCTGAATAGTGTCTTGTTTCTGAGTGGGCTACAGTTCCAATCAAATATTTGGATCACATCACAGAAGGCAACTGGCTTTATCTGAGAAGAATGGAGAATGTGTGATGGAGGCTATTACAGCTTTTCTAGATCAACCTCTGCAACATTTCTAAAAAGTGATAATTAGTCTATTCTCCAGGGAAATTGAAACAAATCTGGAATGCTAGAACCTAGATTACAGATAAATAGCAATAGCACTTAGACTTATATACTGCCCAAAGTGCTTTACAACACTTTCTGGGTGGTTTACAACGTCAGCATATTGCCCCCAACAATCTGGGTCCTTGTGTTACCAACTTCAGAAAGGTGGAAGGTTGAGTCAGCCTTAAGCTGATCAGGATCGAACTCCAAACTATGTGCAGCCTGAAATACTGCATTCTAATCACTGCACCACCAGGACTCATCAGTAATCAATAAATGAGATTATTATAATGTTTGTAGCATGCTTAAAATCAGAATGGTCATAGAATAGTGTCAATTCCCCTTGAACCACCTCCTGAGTATGGCTTAAAATTTGAACTAATCATATTTTTTTTAAAAAAATAAAGCTAACCAGTTGAAATATAATAGTAGAAGCTGATATTTTGAATTTCCCCACACACTTGCATGTATTGAACAATAGTAGCTTGATTTCCATATCCAAGATTGGAGCATTGATTCACATTTTAGATGCATATTGTTGATCATATGAAACAGCAATTGACCCAGTTAAGTATCTGCTGAGAATATATGCTGAATGTGAATATATAAAAATATATATTATACATTATATAAAATTATAGGTAAATGGTCTTATTGAGCACTCTGTTGTATGCATTCCTTTTAAAATTCTATGTATAAACCTTTAACTTTCCGTTGTTTAATGTTTAACAGATTGAGCGTATTGATCAATTCTTCACTGCTGGAGGTTTTCGTCATGTCATGTTTTATTATCAAGACATGGAGTCACCAGAAATAGGTATGCAAACAGATGCCTATGGTACTATTTTCTCAGATGGTAAAGATGATGACTTATTGTATTTATAGACTGCTGGATCCTGCAAGGCAGCAATTTGGAAAAAGTAAAAAATATGATAAAACTGAATGACAAAATCATACAATAACATGAATCACCAAAAACGTTAAAACATCAGGCAGGCACCAGTTTAACTGTGAAAGGAAAGAAGGAGTGAAGAAGATCACTCTGCCTTGATTTCTTTGATATAAAAAGGAGAGGGGTGGAGAAAGAAACTCTTTGTCAGGCTTTCAAGATTCTATTATTGTACCTTGCAATAATAAAATAGAATTTCAGAATTCCTTGTGGAGCCTGTTTCCTGACTTGACTACCTCAAAGGACTGCATCTTTAGCAGTCCTGGAAAGCTGGAGACCTCAAACCTTCTCTTCCAGAAGCTCTCAGTTTTATGCCTTGACAATTCATCCTTTTCTTCATCAGTTTGGAAGATGTAAAGTGTAAACTATTATCATGGATATAAACAATCAAATTTTATTTTAAAAAAATGTTGAAGGCAATGCATACAGATTTGACCTACTCATGATGATTTAACTAGCAATTTAAAGGGAAACAAAATCCAAAAGAAAATCCAATATTTTGAACAGATCAGAAAACACACTTGTCTGCCATGTGGAATACTCACTGTCTCAACATTTCCATAAAAAGATAATTCCAAATTAATATTGAGATTGCAAGAAGATTCTGCAGAGAAATAAGTGCTATTTTGGAGCCCAAACCAATGCAAAATAAGCACCATTTCCCAATTTGTACAATAAATAGAGAGAATTAGATGAGGTGATAGTAACAGTACAGTACATACAATAGGATATAGAGATGAAACCTGGTACAAATTCCTGAATAAATGTTTTGGTTGTGTCTATATAAACTACATAAAATTTTCTCCCCTTTACAGGACATGAAAGTTCAACAGGAACTAACACTGCTTCTGCTAAAGGCAAAAAGACTAAATTATTTGTGACAGAGGGAGATGATGTCGCTTTAACTGGTATATGTGTATTCTTCATTAGAACTAATCCTTCTAAAGTAATTAATGCAGAGAATATACATCGTGTAAGTATTTTCTATATGTATCTTTGGTCACTTGATTATAAGAAATTGTAGCATTGCCTGAGGTCATCCATTTTCTTGTCAATCATATAAATGGGATTTAGCAAAAAAATTAAATCTAAGTCCGTATATATATATATATATATATATATATATATATATATATATATATATATATATATATATATATATATATATATATATATATATATATATATATATATATATATATATATATATATATATAGGACCACTGAACATTGATCATACTGGCTTGAAATAAGACCTGTAATATCAAAAGATTTGAAGTAAGACCTGCAATATCAAAAGATTTGGAAAGCACACCAAGATGGAGAAAGCTGAGCTAACAATTATTAATGCTTTTTTCTTTTTCATCATCAGGAAGTAGTTTTCAATATGATGGACGCAACAAATGGTGGTTTGCTAAACAGTGTTCAGCATTTGCTATCCGATATCTTCATCCCAGCTTTGAATACTATGAACTATGGCTGGGGAGAGATGAGTAGTTCCCAGAAAGGGGGTAACATCAAGCAGGACTTCATTGCATCCCTGGAGGGATTTGTTAGTGTCCTCTCAGGAGCTCAACAGAGCCTGATGGAGAAGGTGAGCTTGCATTTATCTTTTAGCTATTTCTGCCAGGAAGAAGAGGAGTTAAAGAACAATGAAAAAAAATGCATACATGTCAGTGCTAAATCTACCATTGATAAAATACTAAAAATGTAGAAAAAACTAATTTAGAAGAGCATTTTAGCAATTTTGCAAATATTTCTGTTGATGTTTTCTTCTCTACACATCTTTTAAGTGCAGGAATTCTGTATTGGTCTTTTTCTTACTTGGGGAAAAAAGGAAGGTATGGCAACTGCAAAAGGGATGATCATATAAGGGCTTTTATATATCTAAATCTTATCTATGTATATGTATATCCAACTGAACTGTAACATAAAATGGATTAAAGAAGAAATTGTATAAATAGAAACCTGGGAGCAATATGGCTGTAAAGTGGGATGTCACACATGACCGCATCACTTGGCAGCTGCAATCCCAACAAGTCCTAGTTGCTGTTGTTAAGTGAGGATTGTGAGTCATTAAGTGAGGATCTTAGGTGACTGAGTCTTGTGATTTCTTGCTGACTTCCAACAAGCAAATTCAATGGGGAAGCCAACAGGAACTTGCAATTTCCAGTCACAAGAGTGGAGAAGTGGAGAAAGAGTAAAGCTGATTATATCAATAAGAATATTCACTTACATATCATATTTTAAAGATGCCATTATGTATATTTGGGACCAGAACTAATATATCAACGAGATACAAAGTTTCTGTTCATGTGTGTTCTACAACACTATCCTCTGTCCATTTTAAAGTTAATTTAAGGATAATTTGATGAACGTATTTGGGTGATAGGGAAGGATCAAGACTGTATTTCAAAAGCCATTCTTGTTATTTTATATATTTATTTATTTATATTTAGTATTTCTTAATCACCCAGCTCTGTCAGAAAGAGGTTCTAGGCGCTATACAATATAATCCAGAGTTGCTGAGAGTTAGGCAGCAGACAAGTATCATAAATCATTATTGCTACCTGATGTTCAAAATAATTGTTCTGTATGAATTATGGCAACAGGGATGTACTAGAGGTGCCAAATATGTGCAAGAAGTACTACCTCAAAACTGTATTCCCGGCAGCAGAGTTGAACCATTTTAGATGGCAACAGGGATTGCATGATTTAAATGTTTTTCCATGCAAAGCAAACATAATTCTACCAAAAAATAAACAAAACAAAACAAAAAAAATCCTGTGTAACAAGATATGAAAAAAAGATTAAACCTTTCTTCCTAAAGCCTCTTTTTTGTTGTTACGCGGAAGAACTTTCATAATGAAACATTCAACTGTGTAAGTTCTATCTGCAGGCAGAAGATATTTAGGCTAGAGACCAAATAGAAAGAATTATAACCAATGTCTGTTTTGTTTGTGGCAGATCAGTTTTTAATATAAATAGAATATGGATGAGGAGACTCTTTGAACTTCTGTTGGAAGAAACTCGAAGTCTAGCAGACAGACCACTTAGAAGTCACAAAGACAATAATATTATTCTAGGGTTTTCAACTGTAACTAATTTGCAGTTGTTCAGGTGCTGTGCCGCCCTGAGTCCGCAAGGAGAAGGGCGGGATATAAATTCGAATAATAATAATAATAATAATAATAATAATAATAATAATAATAATAATAATAATAACAAACTAGCATGGAATAATATGTAAATAACCATTGGTCTCGCATACCAACACCTTGGGCAACACCCATAGTTACAATTTCTTAGGCAGAGGTATTGAAATGTATAGAATAACTGCCTAATACACAATTTAGGTGGTCCTGAAGAAGTGTGAAACCTATGATCTGAAAATGCTAAAAGGACCAGCTGATTTTCTGGCGGTAGCAAATAGCATGGAGACTGTGGAACGAATAGAAGCTTGCATGAAAGTGTGGATTAAGCAAATTGAACAGGTACCGTTTGGATGACTATTCTATTACATATGGAGTCCTGTATATACAATATGCAACTACTTATCTTTCTCATAGAGAAAGTGGGGGGGAGGAATTGCCAAATGTATTATTTTCACATGCAAGATTCTTATTCAATAGTGTCTCTGGAGCTGTTGTTAACTATGATAATCCCATTTTTCCCCTCTGTAGCTGAAAGATACTCATGATGCTGATTTGCAACAGGGAATGAGCACTGTAAAACAGATTAGCATGAATCAATTACTGTACTCTCCTATTTCCAAACCAGTTTCACGGTAGCAGGAAAACTAGCAACCACAATCATTATCCATCTAAAACCACTTTTTTTTTCTTCAAAATTTTTATTATTTTCAATTATAACAAAATATAAACATAGCCTTGATGCATATAAATACAAAACAACAATACACAAAAAAAGATACTTTACGGATGATCCCGGCTGCCCCCTCCCTGCTTCCCCCTCTTTCACTTACCAAACCTTCCTCCCTCTAGACTCTCAACCACTCCACCTTCCTCCTTCCACCCTACTTCCCAACCTCTTTCTCGAGCACCAGCCGGAAGCATTTTGGGGTAACAGCCAGGATCATCCTCATAAATATACTTCA